CCCCCTCTCTCTCTCTCTCTCTCTCTCTCTCTCTCTCCCTTGCCCTTCCGCTCATATCCTATAAGCTACTACACCAACATCTCTCAACACACTCACGTGGCCAGTGGGTGATCGGCGGGAGCTCTGGTGTAGTTTGCTCCTTCTTTACACCTATCAAACATCTGCCGTCCTTATCTCTCCTCCTTCTTTTTTGTGTATGTTACTCTCTTGTAACACCTATAAACTTCGGCACGCACTTATACGACCTTATAGTGTTGCAAGTGCCGTGCGTAAAACTCTTACTAAAACTAAACTATGGTTGGCGGGTTCTCTGATATCACCCATTACAGGGCAGTTTTGTAATGTTGATGGCGATGAGGATCATCCAGGAATTAACAGGTATTATTTAAGGCCCAACCTAGAAATTCATGTAGGTGGTTGGCAGGTGCTCTGGTGTGGTTTGCTCCTTTTTTCCTATCAAACATCTATCGTCTTTATCTCCCCTCCTTCTTTTGTTGTGTTTGCTTCTCTCTTGTAACGCCTCTAATCTTCGGCACTTACTTATACGACCTTATTGTGTTGCAAGTGCCGTGCGTAAAACTCTTACTAAAACTAAACTATGGTTGGCGGGTGCTCTGGTGTGGTTTGTTCCTTCTTTCCTATCAAACATCTATCGTCCTTATCTCCCCTTCTTCTTCTTTATGTTTGCTACTCTCTTGTAACACCTCTAATCTTCTGGCGCTCATTTGACCTTATGCAGTTGCGAGCGCCGTAAAACCTCTACTAAAACTAAAACTAAAAATCTAAACGGAACAAAACTCACGTGGCGGTGGCGGCAAAAGCTATGACGAACGGCCGGATACACTTGACCAGCATCATGAACGGGTTCCTCCGAGTGAACAGGAAGATGACCGCGGGCCAGACGACCATCTGGTAGATGACCAGACCAACGGTCACGGAGGCCACCAGGAGCCCCAGGCGCCGGAACACGTCTGCTATGTCGTCCACGCCGGCGATGGACACAGTGATGAGTGACGTCACGCCCACAGGGGTCGTCCTGAAACGTGGAGGACGCTGATTGGTTGGTTTTCTTAAGTGGCATTCACAAAGACGAATTATTATTATTATTATTATTATTATTATTATTATTATTATTATTATTATTTCGAGAATGTCTACTTAACGTATAAATCATAGAAATGGTGTGACAAAAACAGTTTTTCTTAACGCATTGTTTTTATGTTGGTTTTTTTTTCAAGAAATAGTTTTATGTTATACCAGTTGCGGAAGATTAGAGATGCTACAAGAGAGTAACAAGCACAACTAAGGATGGAGGAGAGACACTGAACAAAAGAAGTTTGATAGGAAAGAAGAAGAAAAACCACACTAGAGCACCTGCCACCCACCCACATGGAGGTGTTTACATCCCCCCCCCCAACAAAAACAAACAAACAAACACATAAACAAACTCAAGGAAGCGATCAAAACATAGGGACAAGACTGCAACTATGAGGTGCGCGCGCTCTCTCTCTCTTTCTCTTTCTCGCTCTCTCTCTTTCTCTCTCACTCTCTCTC